TTGGCCGGTTCTATGAGAATTTACTTAGGCGAATTCTCTAAAGCACTCGCAGAACCCAAGTAGTTCAGGGCCGAAATAATGAACGTAATAGCGAACCAAGTTTGATATGAGAGATAATGTGTTTGGTCTATTGTTTGAGCTTGCAATAACGGCTGACAGTTCAAAACGTTGCGTTCACTGATTAGCCAAGTGAGTTCGATAGATTCTTACTAAAGAAGGTTCAAAGCGAAAGCTATCTATCTTGATGCGTTATCTTTCAGATAGTACTTTTCTTCCGTCTTCCTTAATTTGAGTCAACTTCTTCCATTCATGTGGGGGATTGTTGGATTGAATGTAATTGGGTTAAAATATTAAATGTAATATTTAATGATGTGGGCCATTGCAATTAGTTTGGGTGAATTGGAAAAGTCTCCAATATAGGCCCATATGTTGATAAGCCCATTTTAAGTGTTTTATATATGGAAAGGAATCTCACATCGAAAGTTTACAAGAAAATAATCTTGTTTATATAGTGGGTTGTGTGAATAATATATAATTTAATAAGTTACCTACCACTTGGCTAACTTTAGCTAGCCAAAGGCTAGTCACCACTAGAGTGGTGCTTCGCACCATTCGTGTCGCTCCCCGGACCCGGTCTCGACACGCGCACGTCGCAAAGTATACATTGGGCCCTTCAGAGGCACACTTGGCACTTCGCACGTACGCATCGTCGCAAGGAGCTGTGGAGCCTTATAGTTTTCGGAAATGGACTTGTGGTTCGATGACGTGGCAGCGCAAGGCTCGGTGAGTTGGCATTCTAGGTGGCGCACGTGTGGTAGGTCGCGTCCCTTCGTCCTGCATGGCGGTTAGATGTATGCATGGCTATGATTGTTCAGAAATTGGTGAATAGGCATGATGAATGGACACTTCACTTCATGGTTCAATCTGAGTCGTCAGATCATGAAAATAGTGCGATCTAATGGCTAAGACGAATCAGACCAAGTGGTGCACCAATTCCTGAAAAATGTCACGCACCAGTTCCTGAAATGCCACACACCTGTTCCATGAGACACTTCAATCTCTATAAATAGAGACCTCCAGATTCGTTTTTCTACACACCAAATTAATTACAAATTCAATTGATTTCTAAATACTTCTCTCTCCATATTCTGCTCAAAAAAAAAATTCTCTTATATTTTCGTAGTTATTCCATTCGAATACGATCATTCATTGGTTCGACCGACAATGTTGGTATTGTGCAGTATCGACTTTGGCGATCAACAACACATTTTATTGGTGCATTCCAATCTGCTAATGTTTTAAATGTCATATACAATTGTCTATAACGTACCGTTTGTTCTTCGATTTGATTTAATACACAATTTTTTTTGTTTGGTCAATATGAAAAAATAGTAATAATTTTCTTCCAATACATAGCAATATCCATATATTTTGATTGCATATTGGTTTAATACTCAGTCAATCCATTTTTTGTTTTATACCCAAGTATCCCAACTTCTTCAGACTAAATCTTAGACCTCTAGCCACTGGCCCCTCAGTAACTCGAGGAGGTAAATCACAGGTTATGCCCTTGTTGGCTCCCAAATTCCCACTTGGTTTATACTCCTGGCCCCAAGAGAATCCTCCTCACTGCGTTGATCAGGAATCGAACTCTCCACGCTGAGGTTGCAAGCTCGCAATAGTGATTGTTCCACCAACTTGGATGTTAGGCTAGACAAAAATTTTAAAAGAAAAACAGGAAAAAAAATGAATTCTTAAATTTTGTTTAGCTTTAAAAAAATCGAACAAGATACAAAAATTTTAATTCCTTAATTTTAGCTTCCAAAAATCACTGCATCTTGTATTTTTTAGCTAAAAAAAATGGATTAATAATCAAATAATATAATTTAATGGTGTCAAAAATATTCATAACAACTTAGCACAATATGTGAAGGTTGAATCATTCCCTAACAACTAAATTTTACTTCAAGGGAACTAATTCTTTCAATTGGTATTTTTTGTGTCCTAAATAAAGCGCTAACCAATTAGTTGGTCGAGTTTACTATCAATTAAACGATAAATTTTTTCGTATATAATTGGATATACTAAGAGCGGGACGGTGAGAGCACTCAAAATTGGGGTTCAACCTTTATAATTGGATATGCTTCGAGTACATTTTTTAATTAAGAATGTGTTTGAAAAGACTTCTCTATAGCTTAAAAGCACTAGAGGTCAAAAGCTCTTTTGTTTACATTTCTAAAACATTGTTTAATAAAAAGTTAAAATAAATTTTATTATTTCTCTACAAGTAACACAATAACAAATATGTTAATCTAACATGTAATTGTTAAAAAAAATGTTAAATTTTATTGAAAAATGAAATTTTGATTGCAAATAAAAATGATGTATTAGAAAATTTATAAAACGAGTTAAATGTAAAATAATGATTTTAAAATGACCTAAAAATGTAAAATATGATATTTTTAAGGTTTATGAATTAAAGTAAAGTATTTGTGAAGTTATCAATAAAAAAAAATATAAATAAATAAATAAAAATACCTCCTTTCACAAACAATTCAAGAAGCCAAATAAACGCTGCTCCGACGCCGTTTTAATAAAATTCCCAAAACCCGGTCCCCAGCTATATGCACACTGAGACTGAGCTTTTTCTTGCTGCAACTGTGCGATACATATATAAAAAAACAAAACAATAAGGGTTTATCTAGGGTTTAAACAAATCACCAAAAACAGCAGTGGAACAATTTCCGCCCTCTAAAATTCTAGGGTTTGAAGAAAGATGGGAGTTGACAAAGGGAAAAAGCAGAAATTAGAAGAAAACAACGCAACAGAGCACATTGATACAGACCTACTCCTATCCATTGAGAAGCTCCAGGAAGCCCAAGACGAGCTTGAAAAGGTAGAGTAATTTTTTCTCAATTTTGATTTCCAATTTCTACTCTGTTTTATTCTCTTTTTGTTAGAAAAGTAGACATTTTTGAAGGGGGAAAAAAAACAAAAGAACTTGCTCTTTTAATTTTCCTGAGTTAATTGGGTTTTCTAATGACGACCAAAAGAAAAAATGCATTGATTTTGTTAAAAATTTTGATCTCCTATTTCTCTTTCACTTTCTTTCTCTCCATGTTAAATAATAGAGATTTTAGAAGAAAATAATTGCTTGTTTTGAATTTTATTTTTATTTATTTATTTATTTTTTTGTTTTTCCAGTTCTCTCTCTCTCTCGGGCAGGGCCCAGAAAAAGTAAATTAATTTTGTTACCTTTGAAAAAAAAATGTCGACCTTTAATATTTCAGAGTTATTTGGGTTGTTCAATTAGGACCCAAAAAAGGTGAAGACTCAAAAAGGTAAATTAATTTTTTTATGAATCTTGACTTCCTATAATCCTATTTCTACTTCAATTTCCTTCTCTCTATGATAGAGAAGTAAATATTTTAGGGAAAAAAATTGCTACTTTTAATTTTTCCGAGTTATTTGAGTTTTTTAAGAGTGGAACCAGAAAAAGTAAATCGATCTTGTTGCGAAATTTGATTTAAATTAAGTGGAGCCCAGTTGTTAATGTTCTTTTTCCCATGATAGATAATGAAAGTGGCTCAATTTCTAATTTGCTATTAAATTTAGAACATTTTTGAAATTATTGTGCGTGTACATCACAACTTATAGATTTATGGCTTGTTTGAGCGGCATTATTTTCAAAAAAATACATTCTTCAACATTTGACATTATTTCAACCACATATTCTTCAATAAAATAATATTACACGCAAATTTAAAATTTTTCCTTATTTTTCAACCACACATTTTCCACTGATTTGACATGAATAATGCATTTTTTCTCCTAGAATGTGGCTCAAACATGGGCTTATTTACCAATGATGTAGCGAGATATTATTGAATCAAAATTTCACAACTAAAATAATAAAATCCCCCCACTTTGTTTTTGCCACGTAAATATTTTAGGGAAAAAAATTGCTACTTTTAATTTTTCCGAGTTATTTGAGTTTTTTAAGAGTGGAACCAGAAAAAGTAAATTGATCTTGTTGCGAAATTTGATTTCCTATCTCATTCAGTTACTTCTATATATATATATATATATATATATATCAGAAGTTAGAGATTTTTAAGAAAAGATTGCTACTTTTAGTTTTCTTTATTTCGGTTCTGTAAGATACAGAAGTCATTTGAACCTAGAATTGGAAGAAATTCAGTGGAGCCTAGTTGTTAATGTTCTTTTTCCCATGATAGATAATGAAAGTGGCTCAATTTCTAATTTGCTATTAAATTTAGAACATTTTTGAAATTATTGTGCGTGTACATCACAACTTATAGATTTATGGCTTGTTTGAGCCGCATTATTTTCAAAAAAATACATTCTTCAACATTTGACATTATTTCAACCACATATTCTTCAATAAAATAATATTACACGCAAATTTAAAATTTTTCCTTATTTCTCAACCATACATTTTCCACTGATTTGACATGAATAATGCATTTCTTCTCCTAGAATGTGGCTCAAACATGGGCTTATTTACCAATGATGTAGCGAGATATTATTGAATCAAAATTTCACAACTAAAATAATAAAATCCCCCCACTTTGTTTTTGCCACATCATCAATCCTGTAAAAGAATCTGTAAAGGGTCATGTACAACAAGCATTTTCCATTATCGTGTTTGTGGTACCTTTTTTTTTTTTTTTTTAGGTTTGGATATTAAAATTAATCAAAACAATGTTGCTTTTCAATTTATTCTTGCCCCTTTTTTTCCTTAACTCTTGAAAAAAGAAAATGAGATAACTGGCATTGTAAATTTGTCCATGATTGTATAAGCATGAATTTGAAACTCATGCTTCCTTATCTCATGCATCTGTTACCTATGATGTCTTTATATTGTGAATAAATTAATAAATACTATACTATACATTGGGCATTGAAGAATCACATTCAAGTTGATGGTTGTTGTTTAGTATCCATAAGCCAACACATAACAAATGTAATCTTGATGACCATTGAAATTCAGGGTAATGATACCTAAGGGCCTGCTTGGGATTTTTGGGTACCTTATGGGATTTTTTAAAGTATTGATTTCGAGTGTTTATGAATGGACCGATTTTGAGTGATTTTAGTAGCGATTTTTAAAACATTTCAACCCATGCCGTTGAGAGGATTTTAAAAGAATGAGATTATATTTCTGCCCCTTATTAAAATGTTCAATTTATAATTACTTGTATAAATTTTTTTTTTACTTATAAGTGATATTTTACTTATAATTTTTATTTTTTATTTTACATATAAGTTAATATTTAACTTTTTAAAAATATTTGCTTAAAATTTTAATTTTGATTTTTTACTTATAAGTAAATTTTGTAATTATAAGATAATTTTGTAATTTTAAGTAATTTTTATGCATAAGTGAATTTTTTTTTACTTATAAGTGACTTTTTATATTTTAAAAGTGAATTTTTGTCTTATTAGTATTATTTTTACTTTATAAACAAATATTTGCACAAAATAATTTGTTTTGTTATAAATACATTTTTACTTGTATATAAATTTTTAAATTATAAAGTAATTTTTTTTGCTTATAAATAATTTTTTTAATTAATGTATTATCATTTACAAGTTAGTTTTGAGCAATATATGTTTGTTGGAATTTGTATAGAGATTAAAATTAGAATAGATTATGAGTAATGGCCAAAACTCATCGATTTAGTGGGTTGAAAGAAACGGAAAAATTATCCTCCACCGATTTTGGATCTGACTTTCCTAATCTCTCGTAAACAGTGCCACCAAACCTGGTGAAAATAAAAACTCCCAAGCAAGCCCTAGGAATTGCATGTATTTTGTTTGTTTTGAGACATTGATATGATTTTCTGCTGTTGGTATAGTTAATTAGTTATACCAGAAAGTCTTTAGCGATAAATGGATGAGGTTAAAATGTTAATTACTATTTTATTGCTTTCAGATCAATGAAGAAGCTAGTGAAAAGGTCTTGGAAATAGAACAGAAGTACAGTGAGAAAAGGAAGCCTGTCTATGATAAGCGTAATGACATCATAAAGTCAATTCCAGACTTCTGGATGACTGCTGTAAGTGATCCAATACTCGCTATTTCAATTCTTCACCACCTCTTACAGTCCTTTTTTCCCTCCTCAATGGCACATGTTCTTTTCCTTGCAGTTTCTGAGTCATCCTGCCCTTAGTGAACTTTTAACTGAAGAAGACCAAAAGGTTTATCTTTTGCCAGTCTGCTTTCTCTAAATTAAGAAAAATCTTAGTGGTTTTATTATGGAATTAGTTGTTGTGCTTGCTAAATTTGAAAGCGTCGTCTTGAATCTGACGCAAGTTGGATGATTTATTTCATTCGGTGCCAGATTTTCAAATATTTAACTACCCTCGTAGTGGAAGAATCTAAAGACTTGAAATCGGGTTATTCAATTACATTTGTGAGTCTTTTTTCTTTTCTTTGCTTCTTTTGTTTCTTGCTTTTGTAGAATTTTACTCGTGAGAATATGCTTCTTTTTATCATTCCTTGTAGTTATGTAGTCTATATGAAATTTACTAATTTTCTGTATTGTTTTTCCCCTCAGAACTTCAAACCCAATCCGTATTTTGAAGATACCAAACTCACAAAGACTTTTACCTTCCTTGAGGACGGAACAACAAAAATAAGCTCTACATCAATTAAGTGGAAAGAAGGCATGGTAAGCTTTGACATCGTCGTACCTTGATTCATGCAACTTCTCTAAGTTCCATTTTTTAAGCTTATTTGCATGTTTTTTATGAAGGCCATTCCAATTTTGTTGATGAGATGAAAGGGAACAAGCGGTCTCATTCTGAGGAAAGGTTGTTACATTGTACATTTAAACTTTGTTTTAAATATTGCTATGGAGCTGACGTGTGAATTTGTAAACATAGGCTGCTGACTAGGTTGCAACTGCATCCTAATGGACAGTCATTTTGGTCATTTAGGGACATTAAGAAGATTGATACTTGACTCTTAGTCTATCTTAGTCATGGTTGCATTCAAGCCTACCACTGTTTATTTCAAAGAATATGATGACATTAGTTATAATGCAATCATCTTCAAAGTGGAAATTTTCCTTCTTTTTAAATAAGATGTGGACTTGTTTCGACTGTATCTGTATTCCAGTATGGGTGCTTAAACAGTATCATCAGCCAATTCTTTGCTGGAAATTGTCAGGTATAGTTGCCAAGTTTTCTGCAAACAGCTTGAATGTTTTCATTAAGATTTTTTGCTTGTGAATTGTGCCATTTTTCCTGATGGACTTTATAGTCCTCTTGAATGCATTCTTACAATATGCCTTCTTCTTTGTTTTCCTTAGAATGCATCCTTGTGCTCTGATCTACATCGTTACGTGTTATTTCCTTTTATTCTCAGTCAAGACATGTATCTTTACATTTAGTTTTCCTTGTACTCTTAAACGTGCTGTAATTAATTGTTGCTGCTTTATCCTCACGAGGGAGCAAGTTTAGGAACCACTACCACTCTTTTTTATGTTTTTGGTTGTTTATGTGCCCAAAATATATCACATTGGGGGTTGACTTGTTGTCTTATAGCATATGCAATGACGATCCTAATTTGCAATTTTCCCCAATATTTTATCTTATTCTATGTGAGCTCGTGGTCTTCAAATATAATAATAAGATATTCTGTGTACTTGCTTTAATCTTTGCATTGATTGTCTTGAATACGTTGTCATTTGGCAAATATTTGTGTATTCGTGTACTCTTCATGCTTATTCTCGTGCCACACTGTTTGCAGCTTCTTTACCTGGTTTAGTGACACCCAGCATAAGGATGATATAGTGGAGATTCATGATGAGGTAAAATCTTGTCTTAGCAGTGAATTACTTTAGGTTTGCTATGGTGTATGGGCATTTTACATAAATCCCTATCCTTTGTTTTAACAGGTTGCCGAGATAATCAAGGACGATCTCTGGCCAAATCCTCTCTCTTATTTTAACAATGTAAAGAACTGCTAATGCCCCCTCTTAATACTTTCCTTGATATATTAATAGAGGTTTATGTTGAGCTTAACCTGCGTGGCTATTTAATACTTCTAGTGTGATCTTTGAATTCTTGCTGTAGGAGGCTGATGAAGAAGATTTTGACGTGGATGATGGCGATGATGAGGTAAGTGTAGAAAACTATTTCTCTATGACGCTCTTACAGTTTAGTGTGGATGATGGAGAAGTTATTTATGGATTTAATTCTAAACCAATAATATAACACGCTCATGTGCCTGCTAGGACTCTCTATGATACCTGAATTTTATGCTGAAAGGAGCTTAAAAATAATGTGATCATATTTTTATAGTTTAAAAATTTCTCTCTTTAGCTTTTGTGGTGATTGATTCTCAATGGCGAGGTGGTTTAATTGTGATATTATAGACATTGACACCAAGATTAACTATATATATCTACAGTAAGTGAATCATTTCTACATCGAGAAATTCACTTGATACATTTTCTTTGGTTTCTCTATCGTTATTTGTTGTTTGTTATATCTACAGTAATTGTTGATCCAAAAAGTCACTGCAGGAAAACGGTAGTGATAGCTCAGAAGAGAACGACAGGGACGATGAAGGTGAAGATGGCGACAAGTAACTACTGAATTTTACTATACTTTGCGTATGTGTGCTTTTTCGTAGACCACGTCGTGGCATCTGTAAAGGAGGTTCTAGGATGGTGAAGAGAGCGAGTAAAAGAGCATATTACTGTTGACTGTTTTTCCCCTGTTCTCTCCTTAAAGAGGGGGGAAAAAGCCTTAATATCTTCATTGACTTGATTGTAAGTTATACCGTTAAATTGTTTGTGAAATTCATCTATCACTATTTTTTCGGGTGTATCTCAACTAGCTGCTCATTTTAATTGACATTTTTATTTTAATCTCAGCTGCTCTTGTAGTCTTCCATTGACTATTTTTTTCCCAATAAATTTAGTTGATCAAACTTACTTTTTATGATTCGATGAACCGAAAATCTCTCAATAATGTTCACCTATTGTACCAAATCGACTCAGACAAAGTTGAGCTAGTTCCGATCTGATTCTTGAATAGGATTGGTCGCCTTAGGCCTCGACCACACGAGCCTATCTTGACATCAATAGGAGGCTAGATGTGAGGTCTGAGGGGGATGCTTAGATGAGAAGAAATTACCTAATTTTGTTAAACGTAACGAGCATTTAACAAATGTATCCACGCCTATTAAAGCTATTAAACAAGAATTATCCCTAGAGAAAGGCGAAAAAGGCAAAGGCCAAAAGTTAAGTTGCCGGAATCCCAAAGCAGTCCATAAATAATGTACTAGCAAAGGTTACAGAACAAAGGTAACATCTTTACTTTCTTAACTCAGTTTTTTTATTTTTATGACTTGGGATTGGGACCCAACCTGGCCATCCCTTTGTCTTTATGGATACAATCATAAAAAGAGCACCTCACGTGGACTCTGAACCAAAGGCTATGTCCAACTACACTCAAAGGAAACACTTCAACCAAAAACAAAATTAAAATTAAATTAAACCCTTCTTGAAATTCGACCGCTCATAACTTTATAAGCAGTTGAATTGCTTGAATGTGCTAGTTAAACTCTGATACAATAACAAGTCTTGAAATTTTGACTTAAAATGTCAATCTTATGTTTATATTTAAGTGAAGCAAGGTTTTATTATGTTGATCGAAATTCAGATAAAAATTTATAATATGCCCAAGAAAGGCACTTATTTATTTTTTTCAATTCTGAAAATCTCTGCTTTTCTAAGAGCACACCTGTATAATTCATACTCATTATCTTTCTGGCTTAAAGCCTGTCCTCCTAAATTATCCTCTCTCTCGCTAAAAGGACTACCATGGCATCAATCTAAAGGAGAAGAGAGATCATTCTATAGAGATACAAGACAAAAAACCGCATAGAATTAAGCTAAAGAAAATCTCTCTTTTTTTTTCTTTTCTAAGAAAGGGAGAGAAATAGAGCTTTTTTTGGGATTTAGCTTATCCGTTCATGGAAGGAGACGATGATCATCTCCACCGCCGCCTCCACAACTTTCCATTCCAATTGCTGGAAAAGAAAGAAGATGAGCCCAGCTCCTCCACTTCTACCTATCCATCTCTAGCCATCTCCACCGCGGATGATATATTAAATCCTAGCGCCACCACTCCACCACCAACAGCCTCCTCAAGCCACCATGTCGCCGCTGAGACATCCAAGAAGCCGCCGCCCAAGCGTACGACAACAAAAGATCGTCACACCAAGGTCGATGGACGCGGCCGACGAATTCGCATGCCTGCACTCTGTGCTGCTAGGGTTTTTCAACTCACACGAGAACTCGGACATAAGTCTGATGGCGAAACCGTCGAATGGCTGCTTCAGCAAGCCGAGCCAGCTGTCATTGCCGCCACGGGAACCGGTACAATCCCGGCAAACTTCACTTCACTTAATATAAGTTTACGAAGCTCAGGTTCCAGCATGTCAGTGCCATCTCAATTAAGATCTACGTACTTCGATTCAAATTTTTTGATGCCTCAACGCCGGGGACTTTTACCGAGCACCAGATTACAATCGGAAAATTCCTCTACGACGTTGTTGAATTTTCAGTCGCCAAGCCTTAACCCTAATTTGTTGCAGGCTAAGCCGGAGTTGCGAGAGAATACGCTAGACTTAATGGAAACTGAGGAGTGCATAAGGAGAAAGCGTAGGCTGGAGCAAGAATTACAACTACCTCAGCATCAAATAGGAAATTATTTTCTACAGTCGAGTACTGGTTCAATTCCGGCAAGCCACGCTTCAATTCCAGCAAATTTTTGGCCGTCGGTGGCCGGTTCTAATAACCTAGTCATGGGTGGTGATCCCATTTGGACGTTTCCTTCAGGTAATAACAGTGCTGCTGCCGCTTCTTCTTTGTATAGAGGAACTATGTCTAGTGGACTACATTTTATGAATTTTCCAACCCCAGTTACACTATGGCCTAGTCAACAATTAGGATCGACTATTGGCGGTGGCGGTGGCAATGGTGTTAGTGGTGGTGGCAGTGATTCGGAGGAAGGGCAACTTGGCATGATCACCAGGCTAGATCAGTATCGGTCTGGTGATACTCGTGGTGAATCTGAATCTCAAATGAGTGAGTCTCAATAATATTAATCACAAGATTTAATCGAATACACTTAATCATTCGCTAAAATTTAAATTTTTACATGATGTGATTTTTAAAAAAGCTCTACTGGAAATGGTCATCGTTTCATCCCATTTGTGTAGTTTGATGTGTAACAATACCCTTGCTGAGACAAGTTTGAGTTTTGCTTTGTTTTCCTTAATATCATATAATTTTTTGTGAGATTGATCTAGAGATTAGGGTTTGGGAAGGTACTATTTTGACATTTTATAGTTATATGTAATTCTATTAGTAACTTCTGAAAGTCAAAAGTGTTCTTTCTCTTTTATTTTCAATTACAATTGGTCTTCCATTATAACTTAATAAGACACTATCCTCAGTAACTTTATGGTGCATAAATTAATATAGAATTCAAGAAATGTATTTGAAATTATTTTTATTTTGCGTGCACCTTTTGGTTGGGCTCAATCACTTGGTTTGTTTATGAGCGAGAGAAATTCTATGACAAGATGAGATCGACAAATTGATTTTAATTTGAAATTACCCTAATTCTTGGGTGACTAGGGTTTCATTAGGATGATCCAATCTATATTGATGTCAATTATCGAATAGTTAGCGAACTTGTTGGTAATACATTAAGGAAACCATAGTGTCAGGACTTCGTTAATGTGGTCTTTCATAGCTCAAGCATAGAGGTGTAACCCCATAGTGAGGTCTCTATCCTGAAGACGGTCCTCAAATGTGTTCGTGGAGATGTTTCTTCACTTCAATCCATGAGTCTTATTGCCAACTTGTGTTGGTCGGGTGGTAGCTAGCCCATTCATTTTTCGTTCATTTTAGCGATTCCATCTCAATTTATGGGTTTTAACAATAAGTAAAATTTTCATTTCTCGTCCTCCTCCAAACAACATTAACATTAACTAATACAATGGCGTGGGGACATTTAACATTCTAGTAGCCAATGGTTCATAACATCTATGAATCTGAGGGACTACAAAAAAACCATTATTAATGAAAGTCCCAAACAACGAAGTACATTCAAATCTTTACTAAATTGTGGTATAATCTTCATTTGAGTTTCAAGTTGTACAACATTTAAAAATTGATTTAAGACATGTTTATATGAGGTTACATTATGATTTAACAAAGACTTTAGGAGCTTTCAAGAGAGACTGATTCGACTTGAAAATTCAGTACCAATATGCCACTTGAACAACAGTGTTGAGGGCAATAGAGCAATTGTCTTGTAATAAGTTGGGCTGGTGTGAGGGCCCATACCTTATCAACTCCAGGAGTTGGCTCAGGTGGTGAGGGCCCAGATGCTGGAAAATTGCCTCAACAGTTGGACCATTCCTTCTCTCTTTTATATAATAGAGAAGGCATTGCTGGCACCGTCAAGATCAGTGGTGGATTGGCCCACCAACTGTTGATCAGGACCGTTGAAGTTCTGTGGGCCCATCTGTCAAGGGTTCAAAGTTCACTGAATGTCTAGTTTTTCCTTTACAAAAAAAAATGTGTAGAATCTAGAGACTTTTTTAGCCACATGTTATCATGTCTCACATAAGAAGAAATTTTAGTTGTTAAAATAACACAAGATAATGTATGACCATTTGTGTTCTTTTATGTCTCCTCATAATAATATCCAAACTTGAGCTAAGATTTGACAAAAGATGGTACCCCAAAGATAGTAACATATTATCACATCAATCAACTTGCCAGAGAAAGGTATGTTCGATTAAGTTGGCCCATAAATATTGATCTATTCTAAATTTCACGGATTAACTGTGAGATTGAATATAATGTGATTTGAAATTAACGTTACTAATGATAAGCATTCTTCGTACAATTGGTTTAGACTAAATATACATAGATTCAATATATATGTTGTAACCAAAAATCTATTGATGCTTGCTTGCTCGTCTTGAAAGCAATCAAGAATATTGATTTACAAGGTGAACTCTTTGCTTTTCCTATCCTTCCTTGGCCACTGAGGAAAATTGAGAGCAAAAGTTAAAGGAAGATAAAAAACGGGCAAGTTTGAAAAATATTGTTAAGCACTTTATTCTATAACTGCTTGTGTTGGTACTTTAGTGTCTTTGTCATTATCTCGCTCTCATTACTTTAGAACATTCCACTTATCCAATATAATTTTATAGTTGCTCGGTAAACCCTGAATACCAAGGACATTCTGAATGATATTGTAGTTTCGGGATATTATAACTAGGGAAGAAACTAGAAAGGGAATCCTCTTCTCGAGTCACTTTCTTTTTCCCCCTTCTTTCAACTATTCCAACAATTATCACTGTCAATTTCAAGTAGGGTATCGACTAAAAACTCCCAACCTTCATTGTCTTTGATGGCGACTATAAAGAAATTCATGGAAAAAGAAATTGACAGGTATTTATTGTACAGAGAGTCAAAACCCAATATGTGGTGCAACTTCCAACAGCGTTATCAACAGAAATAATCTAATAAAACCTCATTATTATGAATTTTCATGACATTGAAGTTGTCATATGGTGGTACGACTATGGCACATGGGCTGAAACTATGTGGTACAAACAAATGGTCCCATTGATAAATCGTGTATTTAAAAGACTATCTTAAAAATATCAAATAATAATGTCTTCTTTTTGGAAGGTAATTAACCAACAAGTTGGCATCGCATTTGAGACCAAAATGAGACTTTTAAGTACTTAATTTGTACGAAATTTGGCTTTGTGAATACTCACACATCTGGCTTCTAATGATGTTGCTAAATTTTTTATGTATCAAAATTCAAGAAGTATTGCCACTCGTAAGCGATGATTACCGATTATCTATAATATGACATCAATTGATTTATCATTTTAGATCCTACATTTAAGATCATAATTAAGATAACTAATCAAAGTCATGAAAATATGACATCATTTCTTATGGGTAAGCAATAATGATAAATAGCATTCTTCAAACTAAATATTAGGATGCATAATTTTGACAATTTGTTATGCTCCACCAGTGGAGTCAAAGTGAATGCCACATAGGATCACATGTCCATGTAGGATGAATAATTCAATGCCTCGATAAAGTCTTGGACACCTCACACTCTGTCTCCAACTCGAAATACTTATTCAAGACTATGCATAAAAGATACTCTGAAACTCACTATGATATTGGGGCATCTCTATCAATAATCTTTTCAAATGATGCAACGATCACCTCTCATGGGATAACCGAGTTGTTGGAGTAGGTGAGCGCGGAGGCCTTTGGTCACGAGTTCGATTCCTCCTACTAACACTTTCTTAATCGAGCATGTCGTACAAGATTTGCCTAGTGCGGTTTACCTGATTGTCGTGGTTTGCAGGCTATTGCGTTAGCCCAAAAGTTCACCCAGTACGCACCCGAAGGGTAGCGACTGCGGGTTCTCCCGTCATTAAAAAAATAAAATAAAATAAAATAAATTGATGCAACGATCATCTGTACGATTGTATCGTGGGAGTGTCTTCAAAGGGAAATTCTTGACACAAAAATTACATCGAGTGCAAATTAGACTTTTGAGCTGGCTTCTTGGGACGACAACAATGCATTCTAACATAGTATTCTAATGTGTATGTCATGTACATATGGAATGAGATGCAGTTTTGATGACAACAATAATATGTAAATAAATAAATAAAAAGCTTATTCAATTATATATGTGTGTGTGCGTGTACAGAAATTATCTACCAAATTTTCACAAAATACACATGACAACATTCAGTTAAATAATGACAAAAAAAAAAAAACATATTGACCAAATGTGATACACACGTCAACATCTGGTGAAATTCTGGCACTAAGCAGAAAAATTGATTCCTCTTGTTCTCTGTTGTTGAGATTTGCACGCATATTTATCTAATAAACTACTTGATTTTATTTATTTGAATCTCAATCAGGACATGAAGATGACCTACGAGCAGATAGTGCAATTTATTGCCTGCAAATTATAGAGTACGCAGGTCCGAACCCTGCCGTATTCTGTCAGTTATATAATTCAAATGTCCCAAGTACGGCTCTTCTTATTTTTAAATTTATCAATATTTGAAAAAATAAATAAGGTGTTAAAGGACCTAAACGCCACAAGTGCAAAAGTAAAGGCCCAAATAAGGGCCCTTCAGCATTTTTCAACCCAATTAAAAGAAGCCCAAACTGGGAACCCTTTGGCAGAAAGAGAGAGAAAAGATGGCCCAAATGTTGTATGAAAATAGATCCCACTCCGAGCTTTGCAATATATAATTTGTTTTCTATTGCTGACCCCTTTTTGTAGCATTTCTTATTTAGGTCTATTAGTCTTATTATAAGGGATAATTTAAACCAATTATTTTATTACAAATAATATATACTTCTACGATTAACTTTTGAGATTAGCTTCAACTAAATTGTAAATATCCTGCCTGACAGTGCTTTTTCACCAGATTTTCAGTCAAAATAGAGCCGTTGGTCCAATTTGCGGGTCTTACCTCACACACAGGCAGTCAAAAATTGTGAGCTGCAATGACAGGAAAATTGCTGCCAATTGTCACTTTTTGGCTTTTAATTCCTCCCAGACAAGCCCATAATGCCTGTTTATGCTCATGTAATAATAAACTATTGATGTAAAAAGAAAACGGAATGAACACGAAATTTCAAACGTGATTTCAGACACGAATTAACGGTTGGATGCAAATTAAAAAATATTTATAAACAACATGCTTGTAGTAAAATAATAATTTTCTGATTTAAATAAGAATAATGCTATTTGTAGTCGCTCACTGCGACAGTCGCCCTACATGACATACACATGACAGGTGATTATTTGATACATTAATGAATACAAAAACTACTATATTAATGTATCAAATAATCACTTACCATGTGTATATCACGTAGGGCGACTACCGCAGTGAGCGACTACGAATAACATTACTCTTTAAATAATTATCATAACTAGACTTTTAAAAGATACTAACTCTAAATAATTACATTTTAATAAAACTCAAAATAAATCTCCTACTAATCAACAATAGTAAAATTTGAATATTAGATTAAACCAATCCTACATCAATTATAGTACTCACACTTGAGTGATACAATTCTAGATCATTTCATTTTGATTACGTAATTATTGATATATTTTTTAGATAATTAAAAATAAAATTATGAAAAAATAATCATCAATATTAAAAACTCAAATAGTCACCAAACTTTTGGCGTTGTTCCAATTTGATCACCCAAAATTTTTTATTCCCGGAAAAAACAAAGAGCTCTCACTTTGGCGAAGAGTTAATGGAGTCCTAACTCAGTCACTCTCAGCAAAGTACTAATAAAACTGGGATTCATTCATTAATGTCAAAATCAGGAACTTGAATACCGGGATTCGTATATTCAATTCTTAACGGTATGCATTTCTTTCTTATTTGTTCTCCAATAACAAGTATCTTGTCAATTGTGTTTCGTTTGGTGGGTTCTTTTTCTTTCCTTTTTTGTTCATATTTACTTATATTTTTGTTATTTTTTGGAGATTGTTGGGGGTATGAGAAGTTCCAGACCTGTAGTTCATTCGTGGTATTTTTATTTATTTTTTTATCAACCTGTTTGCACTTCTGCTATAGCCTACCTAGGTTTTCATTGTCGTCTTAGTTTTTGTCCTTGAAACTTATTTTGGATATGTTGATAATAATTATTTAACCTCAGTTTATGAATTAAATCCTGTTATGCGTTTATAAAATCCCAGAAGCATGATCAAGATTTGATTAGAATGCTTAGCTGAGTGCTTAATTTGATTGGTTGATCTTAAAATCTTAGGGCCTATTCTCTTTGTTGTTTTCAAATCATTTTCAGTTTTTAATTTTCGAATACACCAAAAACATGTTTATTTACCTATTTTCAGAAATGAATTTTCGAAAACATGGAAAAAAATTACGAAGAAAATGCAAAACGGCCTTTTAGTCATTTTGGCTATTTTTAGTAGAAATCAAGCCAAAACTTCAAAATACCGAAAATGCGGTGTTTTTGCCAATAGCAGGATAACTCAGTTGGTTGAGTCATGGATTTTCTTAAGGTCACAAGTTCAATTCCGTTTCACCGCAATTTAATACAAAGGGATTTTCTTTCTATATGCACAGTACAAGAAATTTCAATTAAATTCCGCGTTTTTTTAGCCAATAGCGGGATAGCTCAGTTGGTAGAGTTACGGATTTTGAGATGGTCACGAGTTTGATTCCACCAACCTATTTTCAATACGAAGGATTTTTATTATTATTATTTTTTTAATATGCATGGTACAAAAATCTTTTATACTTGGTTTAATGCAGTGGCTAAAAATCCTGTTGTAGGGTTGTCTAATTTCTTGTTGTTCCTTTCATGCTTAAAGTGATTGTATACCTCCCGTGTACTCTCTTTTAAGGAATAAAATTCTCTAATTACCTATAAAAAAAAAAAAAAAAAAAAATCTTTCAAATAAATTAGTAGGTGGCTGAGATTCAAACCTAGGTCACCAGCATGGAGTTTTAATGTCTTTACCACTATGGCAATCGCTTTTGCTTTGTTGTATAAGTAAATAAGCTATATATATATTGAATAATTGCTTTTTCAGTTTTTCAATACTAATGTAAACGCGTTTTTCAATTTTTTATTTTTGAAAACAATTTTTCAAAATGGCAAAAAGAAATCATTTTCAACAATCTCAAAACACAAAATCCAATTTGAATTTAAAACTCAAAACTAAAAATTGAAACACGAAGAGAAAAACCACTGAGTTTCTAGGGAAAAAAAGGTAAATGTGTTGTTTCTACATTTATGAGTTGTTTTGATTGCAGTGGGGGTTTTTTTGGCATTAACATCTTGTAAGTTGTATATCATAGCCTCAGGGCTGGTAGTGAAACAGCAAATGAATTCAGCGATTTCTCCATTAGTTGAAAAATGTAGCATGGCTGTGGAATTGACAAAAGTTCATGTATTTTACATAGGAATTGTCTTTGAAATTAGCTTGAGTTTCCTATTATGTACTCTGGTAAATGCAAGAACTGTACTTCTGTTAAAACATGCCAAAACTCTTCCAAAGTCTGTATGTGATTAGTATTCTTGAAAACTGGGAGTTATCTAAGTCTAATAAAAGAAATTACATTCCTTTTAAAAATTCTACAACTGAAGCTTTGGAGGGATTATGCCAAGTGGTCGACCAAGTCACTATCAGTATAGTATCAATGGAATGTCAAAATTCTAGTTGAATTCATTATATCCATCCTAATGCTAGTGAGGAATGACATATAACATGTGTAGAAGCAGTGTTCTTTAAAAATCTGGAGCAGATTGTATGAAAGGAACATTAGTTCTCTGAGCATCTGTTTTCTTCTAATAAATATCTTGTCACAACGGAAAGATGTATAAATGAAGAAAAATGACATTAATCTTGTATCAAAGTTTTAGAGATTTTTCAGTCTTGATGTCTTAAAGTTTTCAACATCAAAAGAAGAAGGGGTGGATCAAAACTAACATGTCCTGTTGTAGTCGCTGGGTATAAATTTTTCAGTAACTGAATGAGTTGGCGAATAAAGTGTCTGTCTAAGATTTTGCCAACTCTGGAAATAAGGTTCTCTTTGAGGAGTTATAATGCCCAATGGACCACTCTTACTCGGGAAAATGTTTGCAGATATATATAAAATTTTCATAACGTTAGACATGATAAATTATAGAAGATTCAAGGTTGAAGATTAGGAAAAGGAAATTTTAGAATCACTTGTAAGTTCTCTTAACATTCCAAAAGAAGAAAAGATGGGCTGGGGTCAGTCTTGAGAATTTGAAACCATGAAATTTGCTATGCCTTGCATCTGTTCAATAGTAGATGATATTCTTGTGGATAAGAGGACCTCAGAAATTTGGTATGCTAGAATAAATTTCAAAAGCGTAGCTGAATAAGTCAACTTTCTACGAGTTAATTCATGATTATAATAACCCAATTTTCTTTTCTGGTCATTATTTCAATAAATGTAAGAAATAAGATCCACTAATTTTTTAAGTAGAAAAGCAAAAAGATAAAAACAATTACATAACCCTGCATCATGCCTCCATTCTCTGCTAGAATCTCCTTACAATAGAATACAAAAAATTTTAACGACAATGTCGAAAACTTTTCGAGTATAAGAAAATGACAGTGGTAATGTGGAATTCCTTTAGTCACCGTTGTTGATGCAAGATCCCATAAATTTCTCCGTTCCCGTAAAATTATGTTGCTTTTAGTTATACATGCTTTCTTGAATCATTATTCGTGCTCCAAAAGTTGATCCATTCTGCTATAACTAAAATTAGAAAATAAAACATAATGATGGTTCCTCCCATCTTTTTTCCCCCTATCTAATTTTCTTCCACAATAAATTTCCCAAAAGTCGTTTCAACCAGGGAGTCACCTTCTGGTTAATCTCTAAAATATAATTCTGAAGGAAGACCTTATGAGAAGAAATGAGTTATAACTATAAGTAACAAATATTCAAACAGTTGAATAATATGACTTGCAATCACACTCCACCATCCCCAAAGAAAAATGAAATGAAAGAATAAAAAGACCACTCCTACTGGGATGAAGACTGAAGTTCATGCAGCTAACTGAATATTTTATTGGCTTTTAGATTGTTTTGACATTATATTATGGTTTATCCACGTATTTCTGCCTGTGAAATAAAACTACGTTAGATACAATTTTAGCATGGTTTCCCAGAGTCTGAGGAGAAAAATAACTTCAATGGTTCTGAAAATGTACAGTACCTTTTCTTTCAGAAATTGAAAGATAAAAATTATGCTTTTCTGGCTCTTATATCATCTGTACTAATTTGTTTCATGCACACATAGTTATTCAAATTGATTTTTATTTTTATTTTTATTTTTTGCTTTGTAGGTTTAAATTGACTATCATCATGATGTATAAAATGTTGGCTCCATTTGGCCTTCTATGTTAATTTTTTTGAATCTAGAACGAAAAATATTCCACTTCTGTGTTAATGATGTAGAGAAACATTATGATCCTATCTGATACCAAAACATCTCGACACATGGTTTATTCTGGCAAGAAGTATCACAGAAAAGTTCCAAAGAGAATTTCCAAGGCTGAGAGAAAGAAATCAAAGTGCGAACATCTGAATGAAATCTTTCTTTCTTTATCTAATGATTTAGGTATTTTCCAGATGCTCAAATGATTCTACTTCATATATAACATTTTTGCCTTGTAACAAAATTTCCATCAAGTTATGGCTCCATTAACTGAACGACCTTAAATGACATCATTTTTACATAATTATCTATTCTGATCAATGGTGAGGCCTCTGTATTGGACAGAGCGATTTGTATGCAGGGCAGTCCTGGGCACAGGCAAATGAGGCCTGTGCCTCAGGCCCAAAACCACAAAGGGCCTATTTTGGCCCAAAGTTTATTATTATTATTATTAAAGAAGGAAAAGGAAAAGGAAAATGAAAATAGTTTTTTCATTAATTGTGAGATGATTGAGATATTTGTTTGTTGTTTTAATCTTAAGTTTTAAGTTAACAATATGTTGTATAATATATCGTTGAATTTTACATTTACGTTGATTTTGGAGGCCTAATTTTTGGATTTCGCCTCGGGCTCCGACAATCACAGGACCGGCCCTATTTGTATGGTGAAGAACACACTAGATGAGATCAACTGTCTGAAAAGAAAATGCTGCATGCTGTCTGAATCTCAATATGTAAGTCCACTGACATCAAGTTTTCACATTCTGTGTCGATAACTTTTTATGACATGCAGTATAACAACTGAACCTAAGTTAATTAATGTTTTCTGATAATAACTTTTATGTCAATTCATAATGTGGCAATTGAGAGTTCTATAATCCAGTCTCGGTATATGCCCTGGAAAAAGGGTGTATGTTTGGGGAAAAAAAAAAAAAGAAGGAATTTGAGAAAGAGGATTTGAGCATAGTTGATCAAATCTTTGAGATTTTTAAAATTTCAAATTCCTATGATTTTCCAATCACTAAACTAATTCTAATCTTGTAAATAAATTTTGATTCCCAATGTGTTGTTTGGTGTAATTTACTAATTTTCTTCAGAAACAGCACGCTGTTAAGTGGAAAAGCACAAAAATTATAAATGAAAAGAAAAATTTTGCAGCATTATTTTAGATCTACTACAATAGCCAGGTTCTTTTAGCTGATCACTGGAACTCTAAATTTAGCACACGCTAAATTTCTTTATTGACAGGTGAGCATGGAGAAAAAGTAACTACAAGATGAGAATTCGGCTCTGGATGCTCAAATTGGGAAACTGCAATGTGAACTCAAGGTGAGGGTCTGGTCTGCAACTCGACCTGAATGTAGCCCCACCTGAATGTGAACTTCAAGAACTGGAATCGCGTATTGGTGATGATCATCATCATAGATTGCCTTGTGTGGAACCAGTTGTTGATCCTTTATATCTCGTCCCTGTCTGCTCAAATACTCGAGCTTATCAAGAGCCTGCTATGGCAGAACTTGCAGGTAAGCCTAACCACATCCTAGATATCCTACTGCAGCAGACATATGGCCATCCGATTTCTTGAAAATCAACTGGAGTTAGGCGTGGAATTTGGATAAAAGTGGATGTACAGGACAGCAGGAGGAGGGCTTTTTGACAATGGAAACTATATAAACTACAGTTATACTCAAGTCTAGTCTCCTAACAAACACATCTTTCATCACCTATCTGTACATACATTCGACCTTTTTCCTAATGTATAGTTAGAGATGATGGATTTTACCTTAATTTTAAGGAAGAATGGTTCTAAATCTTTGGGGAAATAATATCATTTGTCCTCAAGATATTGTTCCTATAGCAAGTTGGTTGTCAACCTCTTTTATAATATAGTTGCACACACCATTCCCACTATAGTAAGTATTGAAATATTTTAAATCATCGTGTGATCCCCACGAAAACGCGTCGACTTCAAAGTTCTAGGCAGTTTGTTTAAGTTGGGAAGCTATCTTGTTTTGTAAAGTTGAACATTTGAGCGTTATGATACACGATGATTCAATGGAGGTTTAGACAATTTTTATTGTTAATTACTCAGTGTACAACTTTAGGTTGATGATCAACTTGCTCCCTTTCAAAAGTTGGTGATGAACTAGAACTATGGTATGTAAAAGATTATAATTAGGTGAAAATTGAACTGAAATAGTATAGCTCTACAATGTTTTTATATAAGTCAAATTTAAGTAACGCCAAAGTTTAGTCAAACTACTAATGTTCTCATGTTAATGATAGTACATATTCATGTCCTCTAAATAAAACATGATTTCCTGTGTTTCCAGTTATATTTGGAAGTCATTCAGTCTAGCATGGTTTCACAAATAGCAGTTGGTCTTTTGACTTGTGCTAGGTTGAGTACTTGTGACTTAACGAGAATTGATTAAGCAAGCTGCGTGGTGCTCGAAGAACTGCCTTAAATTCATCGACCTATTACGCGGTACAAAAAATATATGCGAAACAGTAAATGTAAGCATTCGAATTATCTCTCTTAATAATGGCTTATTTTCTAAATGTAACGAAGTTTGATATCACATCTATTCTATTTAATACAGTACATCAAACGTGCAGTTATCTTTCTTTTCATCGAAAATGTTCCTCATGAGCCAAATATAAAGTTGACACAAAAATTCCATTCCCTATAGGGGTTTTTGTCTTGTAGTTGCTAGGCATATGCCCAAAATGGGCTGCATGGGGGACTAATGAGTGGTAGTGGTGCATATATTTCGAGATGCCAAAGAATTAATGCTAGAATGTCATGTTATGTCGTTGAAGTACCATATGCTTTTGTACTACAATGTGTCATTGCCAATGGCCTTTAAAAGAGATGATAAAGAGTGCAATTGATCATCTTAAAACGTGTATGCATTTTTCGTATTGTCGAATATTATTAAAATATGTTTGGTGTATAGAACATAAATAGAAGATAATTTATGACGTATCTTCTTTCTTTAATATAAAAAAAAAAAGGTTGAACCCCAACCTTAAGGGTCCCTCACCGCTCCTACCCTGGAGCATCGTGAGGGAGGTAAATCGCAGGTTATGCCTCCAAGGGTATAGGGTGGAAGGCTGCTTGTACACTTGGACTTACCCAAGAGCCAAATCCATATTTCAGGATTCGAACCCTTGACGCAGCAGCCTCAAGCAAAACTGGATTTCTCCACCCTCCCCTTTTACCACTTGGAGATGTGCCCTGGGGGCTTCTTTCTTTAATATATATATATATATATATATACGTGTCGATTTGGGCTATTCTTTTTACATAGTTAACCTTTTAATATACTACCCCAATATTAAATACGGCATCAGAATTAAAAATAAAATTCAAATGAGCAGTTTAATTTATTTAAAGCTCGAGTGACTACTCAAATTTTAAGATCATTGTTCTCCTAAACAAGCCACTACATTGTACCTAAATAAATAATCAATATATAAAGAGTTTAAGAAGTTCTCTGAAGAAACTTTACCTTCTAAGTGTAACTCCAATTCCAAGTAGTACATACCATAACCTTGTTTGATAGTACTTTTTAACTCTTAAGTATTTTATAAGTTATGAGTCTTACCGAATTTATAGATGACAAGTGGGAAGTGAGTTGTGAGTTGTATATTTAACCTGCTTAGATTATATTTTAAAATTTGTCAAACGTGTCAACAAAGTTTCATCGAAGGGCATTCAAGCAGTAGTTTTATTTTATTTTAGTCTTATAATTTTAATTTATTTTAATATGGTATTCGACTTATACTTTTTTTTTTTTTTTTTTTTTTTTTAAATATCAACTTATTGTATCTTGTCATATCACTAGTTCCTTACTTCTGTTTTCTTGCTTCCTAAGTTAAAATTAGAAATTTTAAAAGTGCATCTACGCTCAAACGTTGAAACGGTTGTCTAGTCACACTTCATGTTATTTTACGCCTAAACTTCGTTTAGATCCTCTTAGATTCGTAAGAGCTTGAATTTTGATTTTATTGTGGTTTAAACCCAAAACTCGGGCTTCATGGTAAATACTGACCGTTCATTCTTAGCTGTCAATGAAGAATGAAGATGCATTTGAGTACTCAAAAATTTGAAGAAAGAAAAAATTATAGGAAAGATTTATTCGACTTGTTACCAATAGTCCCAATTTCCATTTTGAGATGCCCTTTCTCATATAGGTATTGTCAGTTAACATGTGGAATAGATCCCAATCAAGGAGAATATCACGTGTAGGAGTATTAATTGTATCGAGTCATATTGATACGTCTAAATAATGTGAAACTTGAACTTTTTACTTCATTTCTTTTATATGTAAAGATAAGTCCACAACCATCCTACTTTTGTCCAAAAAAATTTAAAAATACCGTGTGCTACAATTTTTTTTAAAATACCTCTTTTTAATTAAAAATCAACAAAAGAAATTATTGTTTCAAACTTTCATTAAAAACAACCATTTTTATGAATTACATGTTAGAGTAACATATATCTATATCACTTTGTTATTTTTAAGGTAATATTAAAGTATTTATTTGTCTTATCCAAAAATAATATTTTTGCATTTCATATATCTTACTTTTTTTTAAAAATCAATGTTTTTATATGGTAACTGTTATGTTATCGTATGTTACTTTTTATTAATATTAACTGTTTCGGACGCGTAGCAATTACGTAACAACATTTTTTTTTATTTATGAAAATTCACGTTTTACTTATGTAAGTATTTATTACCAACAATCTACAAAGCACCACCATCCTAGATTCAAGTTTTTCAATAGCTCAACCTCAATTGATGCTACAACATACCCATTTTTAGTTAAAATAACAAAAAATCGATATTTGTAGAGTAAGAATTACTTGTTAAGTAACGCGAGTTTTACATGATTACTCTCTTCTTATATTCCAACACCATCTTTAATCATCACCACCTCAACACCATCTTCCACAATACCGCCACCATACATTTCGTCAACACCGCAATCTAATAAGTATCAGTTAAATTAACAAAGATTTGTTACTTGTAAGGTCATGTTACCATAGGGATGGCAATCAGGCTCGTCGGCTCGAACTGCCTTTGGCTTGGCTCGGAAAAAGCTCGAGCCCACTCGGCTCGAGGTTCGGTAGAATCGAACCAAAGCTCGGACCGAGGCCCATTTTTAGGTCCCGAGCAAAGCTCGAGTTGACCCGTGTGGCTTGCCAGTTCGGAGCATATATTTAAAAAAAAAATTAAATAAAATAAAAGGCAGCGTGTTGTTGCTAGAATTAGGGCAGCAGGTTGCTGCCTTGTTTGACAACAACCTGCTGCCATTCTATTTAAAAAATAAATTAAAAAAATCCCAAAACCAAACAAAATCCAAGCCAAAAGCTCGGGTCAAGCCTAATTTTTTTCGGCTCGGACTCGGAAAAAAGCTCGGATATTTTACCTGAATCGAACCCGAGCCTAGAATTTTGGCTCGTTGACATCCCTATGTTACCATCACTATAACTTGGCATAAACAATCCAAATGTCGTCAATCGATACCTTCCACCACCATCATGATGAGGTCGTGTTACCATCACTATAACTCAGCATAAACGATCCAAATGCCGCCAATTGATCCCTTTCCACCACCATCATGATCAAGCTCCCAAACACTACAATTATCTTTCAAATCCCACAAAAAATATGACAATAGGAACTCTTTTTAAAACTCCATATAATGAAAAAGTTGTTTTTAAGCTGAATAAGAATTCAACCTTAAATTTCATAAGGACTAGCTCTTTTTTTGTTTCCACAAAAAAAAAAATAATAATAATAATAATAATAAAATAAAATGAGTTGGAGGATTTTTTAGTTTTTAGCAAATTTCATGAGAGAGATGAAAAGGGGACATCGAAAATTCTAAAAACTGCCAAAAAAGAAAAAAGAAAATCCAGTGTTGCGGAGTGCACGAGGACCAGAACGGAGAGTCGTACGGAGAATGGAAACCTTTTTTTAGAAAAATAAAAAAGAAAAGCAAAAGCCGTTTCATTCGGCAAAAGTCCGTGTACACGTGCATAACGGCCGTTAACTTTGTCGTTTCTCGTTTTTACACCCCGGTCAGATTTCCTTCGAAGCTATTGTGGGCCCCGTTGACACCTCCATTACCTTTTCCGTTAAATCATTTGTTTATATTATTTTGACAATAAATAATAATCAGTCCATTTCAGTATAACCCACAATGCCAGAACCAAAAAATTCTTAGAGAGAGCAATAAGAAATCCAGATGGAAAAGAACTAGCCACTGAAGAATACATGCATATATATTAAATACCCGCAAATACAAGTGTTTATATATATATATTTTATGTAGCATCATCAGTCAAGTGATATCCCTTTTACAATCTGTGAGTATTTTTTCTGGTTTTTATCGTGAATTTGATTTATCCGTGTTCTTGTTCTTGTTCTTGTTGTTGTTCTTTTTTTGTTTGATTTCTAACTAATACGAAGAGGTATATCTGTGGACTTCATGTTAATTGAGAATGCTTTTATTTTTACGTGTATATTAATGTGCTTTTTGGTGATTTTATCTTGAAAAATTGTGAAGAGTGCAATTAAAGATTGAATCTTTATTGGGTATATGAGAATTTTCTTTGAATGTTCGAAATTGTTTTTTATTTTACACATGCTCCTTTTGTTTCTGTTATTAGATTGTTAATTAATGTAGAATGTTGGATTTGAGATCATTTCTGCTATAATGATTTCCTTTTATTTGTTTAGTTTGAAAATTTCCCAGATTTTTTTTAGAGATTTTTCATTTCTTTGGCATATAATTTACTTGCATGCTGTTCTTATCCAGTGTAAATTTAATATTTCAACTGTTATATTCAATATAGATAGACCCTTATTTTACAATTGTCATCATCTCTGATACAAGTGGTTGTAATGTTTCTTTTTATTTATTATTTTGATTGTTTCTTAGTTCGCTGAATTATAGTTTGTGGCCTTTGATTAATGGAGAATTAATGGCTTAAGAACACTTCTTCTTTGTGTATTATTGCTCTGCGATACTTAATTATGTCTTGGTCATGCAAAATTATCAGTATATAGCCAGTCTTTATTGTTGATAAAGATTTCCCTGCCTGGGTGTTTAAAAATGCTTTCTTTAGTTAATTAAGGTGGTTTATGAGACTAATTGCAAATTTGGGTATTTTCCAAATTGACCGATTTATAATTTATATGGTGTTTTCATTTAGTATGCTTGAGAAGGAGACGTGGTGTATATTTGGTAGGATCATTATATTGTAGATATTTTTAAAGACATGATGCTCGTATTGAGTGGTTTGCTGTAGCTGTCTTTGGAAAATTGCCAAGTGTGTTGGTTTGAGAGTGTATTCCTATAAAGCTTTATCTACTTATGATCTGTGCATAACAAAATAGGTTGGGCTTAACAAATAATTATGATTTAGTTTCTTGTCGAGCAGTGCCGTCCTTTACAGATTAGTTTGTTACCTAAGCATTTGTCGGTATTTTTGTTCGTTCTTTGCATTTTGGATCATAAATGTCATACAAAGATTATCTTTTTAGCTGTGACTTGTTATGCTTTTGGTATTTATGAGTATCTTTTTGTTGGGAACTTTAATTGATTGCAGAAGGGACACAGCTTTTATTTGGCTAGTCGGTATCTCTCCCTGGATATATTATTCTTTAATATATTGACGTACTTGTCGCCATGTTGGAGGGTCCATCATTTCTCGTTGCACGGGATTTGCCTAGTGCCTATGAGCAAGAGAGCAAGTGGATTTATAATACTTATAATGTCATCGAACTGTCGAAGGGAAAGCGCCGTTTAGAGGATGCAGAAGAGATTGGGTCAACAAAGTCATCCAAGCCTCTAGATCCTGTAGAGAAGGAAGATTCCATTTTGAGTCAGCCATCAGATAATCAGGGCACTGAAGGGGATCATACGGGTTCGGGTTCGGGTTCACTCATCGGCCAAGTCGGCAAAGACCTTTCGATCAGTTGTCTGATTCGTTGCTCGAGGGCTGATTATGGATCCATTGCCTCGTTGAATCGGGACTTTAGATCTCTAATTCGTAGTGGGGAGCTTTACAGGTTGAGGAGGCATATGGGTATCACTGAACATTGGGTTTACTTCTCGTGCAGCCTTCTTGAGTGGGAGGCCTTTGATCCGATCCACCGCAGATGGATGCATTTGCCTAGGATGATGTCAAATGACTGCTTCATGTGCTCTGATAAGGAATCATTGGCTGTAGGTACGGAACTTCTTGTATTTGGAAAGGAAATATTGTCATATGTTACCTATAAATACAGCATATTGACCAACTCATGGTCACCTGGCGTGAAGACAAACACACCTCGATGCCTCTTTGGTTCTGCTAGTCTTGGGGAAATTGCAATTGTGGCTGGTGGTTGTGATTCACAGGGAAATATACTGAGCTCAGCCGAGCTATATAATTCTGAGACAGGAACTTGGGTAATCCTCCCGAGCATGAATAAAGCAAGGAAATTATGTTCAGGGGTATTTATGGAAGGGAAATTTTATGTTGTTGGAGGGGTTGGAGTTGGTAGTTCGGGCATGCTCACTAGTGGGGAGGTTTATGATCTGAAAACAAGGACTTGGCACGAGATTCCTGATATGTTCCCAGCACTCAACGGAGGGTCGGAGGACAATAATACGCCTGCAACATCCAAGGCTCCACCTTTGCTTGCTGTCGTTAAGAATGAGTTATATGCAGCTTATTATGCCAGAATGGAAGTATTGAAGTATGACAAAAAGAGGAACTTGTGGGATACTATTGGCAAATTGCCTGAGCAGGCAAGCTCAATGAACGGCTGGGGACTAGCATTTCGGTCTTGTGGAGACCAGCTTATTGTAATTGGTGGGCCAAGATCCTATCATCGAGGGTTCATTGAGATCAATTCTTGGGATCCTGATGATGGTCCTCCCCGTTGGAACTTGCTGGGCCACAAACAATCTGGAAGTTTTGTCTATAACTGTGCTGTTATGAGTTGCTGAAGTATCTGGTTCCAAATATGGATTTACAGAAATTCCAAACTTTGTTTTATTCTCTTAGTTTGTTTCAATTTGTGTCTGCACCAACTTTTTTAGTTAAGCAAAAAAATACAGCTTCAATAATTGGGAAGGGTTGGGTATAGTTTGCAATTTGGTAAGGAAATTGCTATACTTATACAAGAACATAAATGAAATTTGTGTTGCAAACTGTTAATTCTCTTGTCCTTTATTTTTCTGACTTTCGTCGTTAAAAATACAGTTGCTTATTTGTTTAGCTTGTACTGCCTTATACAACTTTCCTTTGCGTTAGTGACTTCTTTATCAGGGTAGACTATAAAATCTTGTTTATTATAGTGTCTAGTGTGCACCCAACATGTAGAGCAGTGGCTATGAAGGAATTTGAGGATATTGCACCAGGATAGAGGTGAGCTACCGATCTTGGGGAAAGACTCAGTTATGCTGGTTGGAACTCAAATGGAGTTGAAAGTTAGGAATGTGGATTCAAGCTCTATAGTATTATACTTGTATATGAGGGCAATGTGGATTAGATGGTACGAGGGGGTATTAGAGGGAAAAAAAAAAAAAAAAAGTTAAAATTTTGTCTATTTATATTTAGTCTGAAAAATGAGCTTGGAGACTAATTTTATATGTGAACGACATCCTTTCGTTTCCTCCCCACCTCCCCCGACCAAGCTCGATTGGTCTTATGCAACTCTTTTTCCGACATTTCATTTTGCAGGACTTGAATTCTGTAGAAATAACATGGAACTGATACTATAACTTGTTAGAATAGACCTCAAGAAAGGCAAAAATAGAAAATAGATGTCATATCATTAATTTCTTTTAAAATTTGTGCTTTAAAGTAGTGTTTGAATCATAATTATAAGTTTAAATTAAATATTTAAGACAAGTCACTTTTAAGGTGATGGCATAATCATAGAGTTTTACATAATAATTATGTTTTATTTGCAATATAAATAAATCTTATTGTATAGATAGTGGGTGTTTGATCACTGATCGAGAAGCTTTTTTTTGCTGCTCACAAACGAGATTAAATACCTTTGTCACGCTGTTTGTTTTCTTTTCTTCTTCTCAAACCCAAGTCAACATAATTGGCGAAAAACAATCCACTCATCAAAACCTTGGCATGAATTTGCAATTTCGTAGATCAAACACATAGAGATTTACACTATCGAATAGGATTCCTGAATTTTGAGTTCTTGTTCGTCATGTTCTATAGTCTAATCCTACCATTAAAAAGCATAATACTAGTATATATTATATAGGGACAAAATAGCAATAAAGAGAAGGTAATTCTTGTGTGTCCTCTTTCTTTCCCTTATCCAACCCATATGATCATCAATAACCTGGTCTGATACTCCGCACTCATCCCTGCCTGTGCATATAATATCTTTTCTCAACTCCAAACTCAATGCTGAACGAGATCCACGTGGACCTCTCGAGCTTTGGATTGAGTGTGATGATCTCAAACGACCTCGACCCCATCCCAAAAACCCGAATTCAATCACAACTAATGAATAACATTGTTCAACTTTTAAACTCATCTAGAGAAGTGGTGAACAGGAGATTGACACGGACAGGTGTCCATGCAAATTTTTGCATGAGCAAAAATTATAACATGTACAATTGTGTTTAGTGTTACAAGAGTATAATTTTTAATTATTACACCTTTATTTTACCCATTTTATTAAAATTTATTTTTAATCACATATTTCGTGAGACTCGTAATTTTTGTTCTTTTTCAAGCAATGATCGGGCCATTTTCATCAAAATTTTAATTTTTAGCAAAATCAAGGGATATATTTGGTATGTAATTTTGAAAAGGTCATAAGGGCATGTGATGGTTTAATTACGTGCTCATGCTCATGTGTACAATAGGGGTACAAAATCAAAAATTCATTTAATCATTTAGACCTTTTCTTTTATATTATTTTTCATATTGGACAAATATCTACAATAATCAAAGTCAAGACATAAAAATAAAGGTCAAAATATGATTTGATTTTAAACTCTTGTTTGGTATAAATTAAAATTAAATTTTCAGTAGATTTTTATATATAAAAAAAAAATGATGAGACATACGGTTTAAGATTTGTGAATATTACGAGATATGTTATTAAAACTATTTGTTAACTTTAATTCAAATTAAAATTTTGATTTTAATCACCATAAAATAGGAACTAAACCCTGTTTTGAAATTTTAATATAAGTTAAAGTCAATAATTAATTTTAAACCACATATTTCATGATATTACAAATTTAAAAACACATATTTTATCAAATTTCATCCAAATTTACTAAGCCCTTGTTTGATAATCATTATTTTATAAAAATTGAGTTTTGAATGGTGATTATTTGGTGAATATGTGGTTAAAAAGTATGAATTTTTATTTATTTTTTTAATTTAGATGCAAAATATTTCTAAAGAATTTTATTTTAAAAAGAGGGATAATTAGCACAAAAACATGCTTACATTTTCAATGTTATTATGCAAAATATTCGTACAGTTCAGTTTTTGGCATTTTCATCCCTATTTTTAACATTTTATTGAAAAAAATGTCATTTTCATCCAATTTCTCAATTAAAAAATGTAAAATGACAAATATAACCTCCTAATTAAATAAACACAAAAAGAACAAAGAACAAATTACAATTATACTTTCAAACTTTTAAAAAATTGTAAATGAGTCTAAATAAATTATTAGAAGGATAATTAACACAAAACATCCATACTTTTTAATATTAATTTGCAAAACTTCAATATCTTTCATTTCTTTTGACATTTTTCACCCTTGTTTTTAAATTACACTTCGAATATCATCATTTTTTTCATTCATTTTTCTCAATTAAAAGTGATAAAATGATGAATATATTATCTTGTTTAAATAAAAATAAATAAATAAGAACAAATTGCTATTATACACCCAAAAATTTCAAAAAAATACAAATAAATTTGACAAAATCGGGAATATAGTTGCGATTTGTTCTTTATTTTTTTTCTTTATTTGTTTTATTTAAATAGCAAGGCATATTAGTCATTTTATAGCTTTTAATTGAAAAAATGGATGAAAATGATTATTGTTGCAATGAAATGTGAAATAATTGTGAAAATGCCAAAAAAAAAGGTGATGAAATTTTGCATAATATTATTGAAAAGTAGAAACGTTTTATGCTAATTACCTTTTTAGTAATTTATTTGAACTCATTTCCAATTTTTAAAAAGTTTGAGAGTATAATTACAATTTGTCCTTTTTCTCTTTTTATGTGGTTATTTAAATAGAAGGATATATTTGTTATTTTACATTTTTTATTGAGAAATTAGATAAAAAAAAAAAAAGGATATTTCGCAATGAAAAGTGAAAATAACGATGAAAACATCAAAAAATGAAAGGTATGGACGTTTTGCACATTAAAAGATAAGGACGTTTTATGCTAATTATCCTAAAAAGATACAACTAGGTGCTCAAAGTATAGAGCCTGTTTGGGAGTGATTTTAATAATTAATTTTTTGACCGTTATAAGAAAAGCGGGGTCTACCTGTGAGAGAAAAAGTCAAATATGACGACTGGAATAGCGAAATAACGATTCAAAAATTAATTTTTTAGGCCAAAAAATCACTCCCAAACAGGCTGATAATTTTAATTTTTAACAAATAGGAGCTAAGTAAATCAATAACTTATATATTCTTTAATTATTAAAAAAAAAGTGATTTGCTTTAAGATATTAGTCATTATAAATCGAAATTTTAAAATTTGAAATTCAAAATTATGAGGGCTCTTTTGAAACGGATAAGTCTTATTGGGCCCCATATCCACCAGACCGGCCCCACATTCACTCCCTCCCTTAATCCGCTTTGTAAATCATTCATTTTTTGATTTTTGATTTCCCGCCCATACACATACACGCATATATACACGCACTTCTCACACACACTCTCTCTCTAAAAACTTCTCTTTTCTTTCAGTTAATTTTGGTTCTCTGAAATTTCAGAAATCTCTATGGAGGACTCGGTCACTACGAAAGTTCAATCCCCTGCCTCAGGTATATTTCGATTACTTTTGTATTCTGACTAGGGTTTTATATGACTTTTATTTATCTCTATGAGTTTTTTTTTTTTTTTTTTTTGGGCGCGCGTGTCAATTTTACAGTGGATGCTGGCAAATCATCTTCAAAACTCCTTCGCTATCCGCTTCGATCATCTATGAAATCTAAGGAAGAGAACCATCCGTCTACTGATTCTACAAACTCCTCTGTCTCCAAGAGGTCTGTCTCTTTCTTCTTTAATTTGAGCATGTGTTTTGACTGCTTGATATTACGATTCTCGTACGAGTTTGGAATTTAGTGGTCAGAATTTACTTTCTTTACTTTAACTCGAATATCTATTTTAAAGTAATTTGGGGTTTTCATTTGACTGTTAGTGTGGGATTCAACTATAGAATGATTGAAGTGAGTAAAGAATTATAATTTTTTTTTGGTGATTTTTTCTTTATATATTGTGATTAATTATGTCTTCAGAATCAAATAAACGGATTTATCATCCCAAAAACTTCGGAAAATAACGTTTTTTTTTTGGTTTACCCCCACAACAGTGAGAATTAGTTTCAATTTTTTGTGTACATTTTTCTTGGACTAAATGAATTCCAATCCTACATTAAAAATTCCAGTGAATTTTTAGACATTTAGTGCAAAAATTCTTTAATTTCTATTTTAAAAATATCAGTGATGGTTGGCTCTGCATTTTGTTTAGGATTTATATTGAAGAAGCATCATAAAAGTATTTTTTTCCCCTTTCTCTTGGTTCATAACCTCTACTCCAGTCCAGAAAATGCATAAAAAATAAATTTAGGAAAACCTTCTTTTAAAAGTAAGCAAATATTATTAAAGAAGCACTAGTTTCCCCTTTTTTTTTTAAAAAAAAAATTTAGTTATTGGGTTGTCTAGCAGAAGTTTTTGCTACTATTAAGTTCTGATTTATATGTCCAGGGGAAGACCTACATCAAATGTGAGTAAGAGCGTGGCTGTTCTTGATTTCTCTGGCAAGGAGAAATCTGCAAAGCCGCCAAGAAGACTGTCTGTTCCTTCCAAGTCTTCTGCCAGCACGGCTCCAAGATCAGTTGGCAATATTACCCCAATTTCTGAGGCTAGAGTGAAGAGGTCTGCAGCCAACCAAGGAAAGTCACCAGTTTCTGATGTTTCTTTATCATCGAGTCGAAGGAAATTCTGCATTCTATCATCATCTTCTTATTGGCTATCTCAGATTAAGCTCTCTGAATCAGCTTCAAAACACAAAATATCCCTTGGCTTCTTTGAACTTGCTTTAGAGGCTGGATGTGAGGTATGGTAAATTATTTTCCACCTCTGTTTAGCTAAACTTTTGTTATTGTCCCTTTAACCTTTTAAAAGTTTGAATGCTAGTCTTAACTATCACAAATGATGAAAGTTTGAGATTTGTTTGAACTTTAATCATAATCTTGGTTAGGATTCATTTTGTATATATAGTTTTTCAATATTAACAACCACAATAATTAAGTTTTGACCCCAAAAAGAACCTTTAGATATAATTACTCTGAAGGTTAAAAGCTTCACGAGATTAGAAATGGAATCCTTTATGATGAACTTCCTTTGAAATTAGGCACTAATTAACAATATAGTTACTTAATGCCATTTTCCAGTTCTCGGAAAATCTATAAGTAAACAAAGAACAAGAGGAACATGTCTAGGAATCTAATACAAAATAGGCTGTATATGAATTTATGCATGCCTTGCACAATTTGAAGACAAGAACATCATGTGAAGTACCAAGGACAGCCAGGAAATTATTTATTTCTTTGCACTTAATTTCTGATCTTAAATTTGTTTGCTCGAGTTCGATTTCATATACTTCGCACCTAAATTATAGCTCGAGTGCTGACCTTCTCCTTTCATGTTTTAAAACAATGTCTTAAGCCCCTGCAGAAAATAAGGGATGAGCTTAAATCCTATGTGTCTCGCTATGACCTTTCTGAACTTGGAGAATCTGTGAACGAGCTGTTTGAGATCTATAAGATATCAGAGAACTTTCAGCAGTTGCAAGCCTCTAACATTGGTCCTCTTGTGCCTGAAGAAGGAAATCAATTACCTGATGATGATGTTCACAGCTCTACTTTTTCGATAACTGATGCTGAGAAGCTGAAGCCGAATCCATCGGACACAGATGCTGATGAAATTCATGGAGAACAAGAATCAAACAAGGAAACTAGTAAGAAGGATGAATCTGTTAATAGGATCAAAAGATCAGTGAAAAAGGATGTGACAAACTTAAAATCTTCATCAGAAGTTAGGGGCCGTAATAGTACCCAAAAGAATCCCAAGAAACCAACGAAGCAAGAGTTAGCTAAAGATCAGGATAAGTTGAAGAAGCAGGGAAAGAAATATTCTGCTGGAGAAGGTAATGGTATCAATTCCTTTTATCTCACATTACTTTCGTTACTCTCTGCTTCAATTTGAATAATACCTTTTTCAATGTTTCAAAACAGTGACAACTACAAATAGATACACTTGTTAATTGTTATAGACTGTTGTATGAACTGTTTTATTTATAGTTACAGGTCCAATTCCCTCTTCACCGGAGAAAACACTTCAAGAGAACAAAGAAAACCTTGTAAGATTCTATTAATAATTTTATTTACTTATATTCATTACTTTATGATCTGGACGTAAAAAATTTCCAGCATTTCATCTTTTCTCTTTCTATATGGTCACTATAACTTTAATTTTGCGTCTTTCAGGCTGTTCCCCAGATCGAGATCAGTGCAACAGAAGAGTAGGGAAACAACTTAAGCTTGCTGAAAAAAATAGTAGCTTTATTTGGCTTGTCAATTTCAGTAGAACTTTTTTTCTTTCTGGTTTTTATAGAATACTGAATGGTCTAAGGTGGGCATATTTGTTGGGTGTGATTTGTGAATTTTGTAATTTTCGTGTGTTTATGAAGTATGTTAAGGATCTTTGTGTATTTGTCTACCTTTATACAATGCGTTAATATTTTGGTGTTCGATGAAAAGTGAGCTAATGAGGTAGTTTCACATGTTTGGCTACCCATTTTTCCTTGAAAATATTTTCATTAATGCAAATCAATGTAACAATTCTATCTAATTCACCCATTACATGATACAGAGTTTTACAAATCCAAAAGTCAACAGTTATATTTATACATGTTGCATCTGTGCCAATACTGAGTGCATTATCTAAGGGACAAATTTTAAGGAATTAAGTTTTCGAACTCGGAATTATTTCATTGACTGTATCCATGCACTTGGGAATCAATCTGCAGTCTCCACAATCTGCCGGACTCTACGATTATACTCCCGCTTATTCTCACAGAAAATCCTAGCAGCTTCAAAATTCGCAGGAGAATTAGGGTTTGGATTACATAATAATGACTGCATCAATCACAAAACTTGTTCATATAATGATCAGAGTGAGAGAAAAGAATTCAAAAATGACGATTGAAATAGTGAAATAATGGTAAAAAAATTGATTTTAATTGACGTAAAAGTTGTACCAAACAAGCTCTTAATTGATGAGAAATAAGCTAACAATTGAGATAAAAGCATCAAAGCATAGGATCAGTGTGGAGTGGAGAAAGTAAACCGTATAGTTCAACTTCATAAGCTTATACTGCTTTGTATAATATTATTATGAAACCACATATCTTAATTATCAAAAACCCAGATTTCTTATGCTTATACACAAGACACAGCCCAACTCTTATTTGTTCATCATAATCAAGAATTCAAGATTCGAAGTCAATCTTTCTTGATCTACTTTCAATTAATTAAATAATAAAAAACAAAATATCTACATGAACTTTGTAAAGGATATCTGTTTACCTGGGAGATGAATCGATTCAAATCCCTTGGTTGAGGATGTGAAGTATGAGGCTTGTGTAGCCGAGAAAGAGAGAGAATGAAAATAAATAAAAAATAAAAAAATATTCCTTACTGAGAATTTTGTATATGGACAATTTCATTTGTATCGAAACTTGTCCCCCCTCTCAAAATGTATGCATGTTCCACGTGAATATAAAAATTTTCAAGTGTGGTCTCCACCCCCTATTGTGAGTAATAGGTAAAAATTGAATAAAAAAATTATTTACATATAGTATTGTCCTTTTGTATATAGACGCGTGAGTATATTAATGGAGGTTAAAGACACCAATAGCCATCAAACTTTATCCTTAGTATCAACATGGCCACACAATTTGATTTTGATTCCACCATGGTTACTCAACTCTATGATTAGTGTCATCATGATCATTGAATTTAATTTTACTTCACCATGGTGATCCAATTTTATATAACGTTCCACCATGATCATCTAATTTTTTTTCTTGACCAATTTCACTACTTTTAGAAGGGGTAAAACGGTAAGTAAAATAAAAACTTATTAGAAAAAACATTTTTAAAATATAAAAACTTATATATATATAATGCAAAGTTATCATTTTATCCCTTTTAAAATTAGTAAAAATAATGAAACGAAATTGGGCGTTCATGATGAAATGTTATATAAAATTGGGTAATCATGGTAAAATAAAATCAAATTGGGTGGACATAGTGATACTAAGTATAGAGTTGAGTGACGATGATAAAAACAAAATCAAATTGGATGATTATAGTGACACTAAATTTAAATTTGGGGGGTCATTGATGAATTCAATCCTATTAATGGATGTATTATTGTTATATTTGTTACTTTCTTGCACCCATCAGCTGTCCCCACGTGCTTATTGGCAAAAACTTGGGCTTGGCTGCCATGTTCGAATCGTTTCAAGCGGATTTTTTTCTTAAAATTCATCCAGCGTCAGTTGAGTTGATTTTGGACTAGCTAAAAGTCTCATTTAATCTTATTTGTTAGAAATTAAAATTTTAATCACATTTTATGAATCCACAAATTTTCAACTACACATCTTTCATTAAAATTTATTAAAAAAGCTAATTTTAATCTCCATCAAATAGGAGCTTAGTGTCGAGGAGAGTTAGGATGTTTTTGACATAATTGTAGATAACTATAAACATTTTTGTTTCTAATTTTGCATAGGTTGAATAATATATGTAGCGTACGGAAAATGACATATAAATTTTCTGAAGTCTAAACTAAATGTAGACTTTTGATCGTTCTCAACCATTTATATTTATGTTATTTTAAGTCTCTAGTTTTCGAAACCATTTAACCTTTTTTTTTTTTATTTAAAAGGATAATTATAAATTTATTTTAAATTAAGTAAAAAAAATAAGTAAAAAAAAAATTCCACCAAAGAAATCTGCTCCACCCAACTGCAAACGCCACAAATAGCATTTTTCCACAAATATTTGGTGTTTCTTCGAATGTAGAATAGGCCTTTCGACATATATTTGATGCTTAATCTAAGTCGATTAGATCACATGCCATTTTAATATTATTTGTAAATGATTACTAATTAAACAGATCATTGGCATACTCCACATACCGAATCTACTTAATAGGGATGGAATGTATCACTTTGGGGGACACTGCGGTTTGAGCAATAGTCCTTTTTTTTTTGAAAGTTTTCGTTATTTTCTTTTAAAAGACTTCTTATTTCTATTGAGTTGTCATAGTCTTGCATCATTGGCATGGCTATGAAATTGACCAAAATCATCATATTTATCAATTTCCAGATTAATTCGACACTCATAATAAACTTTATGTATCGATATATTTGTTATTTTTCTACTTTAAAAAGCAGGGGTATCTCTATCATAAACTTTAGTTCAAAATATATAAACTGTTATTTTTTCAACTTTTCTTCACCATCAATTAACATCTGTGTGCTCAATTTTGTTCGTATCATATCATTCCATGCACAATTTGCATAATGATAAGTCACAATCTAACATATGCGATTCCAATCTCATACATAAAAATCAATATATTCATATATGTAATTAGTGTGACCAAATGAAATGATCTTTTTTGTGTGATTTGTTCACAAATATTGCTAGACAGAATGGGAAATGGATCGACCATGTATACGTATATTCATAAATATAAATAGTGACAACGCTGTAATAAATGCTATATACCATTTGGTTCATTTGGGACACTAAAAGTTAGAGTAATAATCTATTTATATATACGAGAGTTTCAGTTATTCGAAAAGAAGAATTGTATCAATTTGATTATGTTTAGGCATGTATGTGCTTTGGTGTGCTTTTCCAAAGTTTAAAAGTGTTTTTTGGTAAAACTATTTTAATGTTGAACGTGCGTTGCATGTTATTCTGTAATTCTTTATGACTACGGTGAAAGTATTTGACTCCTTATTCACCATTTTGATTTAAATATGAAAGAAATGTAAGCACCTGAAAATAAAATGCTAATTATATACATGCAAGTAAATAGTAAAATGCAGTTAAATGTGAGTATTATAACTATAACTAAATGCATAAATGAAGATGAATGGCAAATACGATACATGAATTAACATAAATTACAACTAAATGCATAAATGAAGATGAATGACAAATATTCCTATTTGCAGTCACTCATTACCGCAGTCGCCCTGCATGACACACATGTGGCAATTAGTAACTTAATGTATAAGGCAATAAAAAACTACCATATTAATGTATCAAGTCACTAACGGTCACGTGTATGCTACGTAGGACGACTATAACAGTGAGCTAGTATAAATAATATTACTCTAATACTAGTTAAATATGCATGAACAAGAATTTCGTTGTGATACAGTTTGTAAATTAAATACATATTGACAAATGAAAAGTTAGGTGTTATTGAAATAATTGAATTGTAGTTGGGCTACAATCATCTCGAAAATGATTCTCATTAGATATGATATTAAATATATTATAGATATGAATTTTTTTGTTAAAGTTAATAAGGGTTTGTTGACCACAAAAACACTCAAATTTGGAGCTTCTCCAAAATCTTGAGTTCAAATTTAATGAAACTTTTACTCTTTAGAGCTTGTTTGTCATCCTTTATCAAAATAAATTGTTTGTTACAGTAACATTCACCACCACATATTCACATAATAAAATATTCTACACACAAACCAATAAAAAAATTTAAATTTTAACCACACATTCTCCAAAAATTACTATTCAAAACTCTATATTCTCTCCTAAAATGGGAGACAAACAAGGGCTTAAATATCTCCAAAATTTCCAAATAATTTGGATTATTGCAAATCTTCTTCTTCTTCTTTTTTATGATTTTAAGTTGTAATTAGCTTTTATTTATATATGATGTTACAAATCTACGTTATATGTTGCTGTATTAGAATATATAACTGAAATTACACATTAATACATTAATTTAATTGATTTTATATTATATTGAAATAAATATTTCTTTTGAAAGATCAATTATGAGATTTATATTAATGTTTAGTTAACAAAATACGTAGTTTATATAAAAATACTTTTATAGTTACGCTGCCATGCATGCAACATCTAAAAGTTCTACTTACAAATCCCAACAAATATGCCAAATGGACCCTTAGCTCCTGTTTGAGCTCAATTTTTTAAAACTTATTTTTGCACACACTCATTTTCAATTGGATATTCTCCCAATAAAATAATTTTACACGCAACTTCAAATTTTTACATACTTTTTAGCCACACATTCTCCAAAAAATAACCATTACAACATCTATTCTCCAAAAAAATGGGCCTCAAACAAACCCGTAGAATATCTCCAATGATTCTTTCAATTAGATTTAAATTGTGATTTTGATATCCAATTAAAGTGACCGAAAACCTCTTCAATGTAGAGATACAAAGGAAATTCAAATTGTGTTTTTCGACGAAAAATTTTAAAAAAAATATGTAAATTTACTTTTTTATTAGATCCACAACAGGCAAAAAGCTACGAATCCACATGCATCCAATTTTTTTTTTTATTTTTTGGATCTTTTCTTTAGAGTAGAATTTGGATTTAAATCTACTAGTATGTAAATGAGAATGCAAAAGTGATTTTAAAAATATCAATCAACTAGTTTTACAACACCATTAGAAATTC